GTCTTCGGTCTGGATCAACGCCGTGCTTTTTCTGGCCAAGCTGTGCCCTCACGCACCTCTCCTGACTGGCCCGCGCTGGGAGTTGCCGGGGCGTCTGCTTTGGTTTGTGTGTATGTGTTGGCTGCCTGTCGCTTATTTTGGGGGAGCGGGTCATGATATATGCGGATGCAGATGCCGGTAAGGGTGATGGTAGTGATACCAGTGGTGACGACGATGACACCGAAGCGTGGACGAGAAGCACGACATGGAGTCGGACGACGACTAAATGATGGTGGTGATGGTGACGGTGATGGTGATGATGGTGCTGATGGTTGTGATGTCAATGACGCTATTCGTAATAAGAAGGCTGAAGACAGTGATGTTGCTGCTGATGATGATGCTGCTGCTGATGATGAGGATGCTGACGGCGATTCTGATAGTGATGATGCTGATGATGATGATGACGATGAGGATGAAGATGATAATGAGGATGATGCTGATATCGATGCTGATCATGATGATGCTGACAGCGATAATGATGATGATTATCAGGTGGTTAATTAAGATGATGCTGCTGACGATGATGACGATGATGATGTTGATGATGCTGATACTGCTTTTGATGATGGTGACGGTGGTGACGATGATGATGATGATGCTGATGATTATGCTGTTCTTGTTGCTGCTGCTGCTGCTGTTGTTGATATTGTAGTCGTTGTAATCGTTCTTCTGCTTATTGTTGCTGTTGCAGTTGATGATGATGCGTACGATGATACTGTTCTTGTTGTTGCTGCTGCTGTTGCAGTTGCTGTTGTTGTTGATGCTGATGCTGATGCTCATGCTGCTGCTGTTGTTTGTTGCTGTTTTTGTTAATGTCGTGATTGTCGATGTGGTGGTGGTGGTGGCGGTGGTGGTTGTGGTTGTTGTTTGTTGTTGTAGTTGTTGTTGCTGTTGTTGTTATTGTTGCTGCTGTTGTTGTTGGTGGTGGTGTTGTTGTTGTTGCTGTTGTTGTTGCTGCTGTTATTGTTATTGTTGTTGTTGTTGTTGTTGTTGTTGTTGTTGGTGTTGTTGTTGTTGTTGTTGCTGTTGTTGTTGTTGTCGTTGTTGTTGTTGTTGTTGCTGCTGTTGTTGTTGTCGTTGTTGCTGCTGCTGTCGTTGTTGTTGTTGTTGTTGTTGTTGGTGTTGTTGTTTGCGGTGGTTTTATTGCTGTTGTTGTTGTAGTTGCGATGGCGACGAAGGGGCTGGTCGCGTCTCCCGGATTGGGGGGGCCATCCTGCAGAAGACGCCGAAAGTGATTTCTGGATTCTTTGATGAGGGTCGTGATGGCAAGGGGGCCAGGGTTCCGTGCAAGTGGGCGATTCCGGGGCTGCAGACGCCATGTCTGCACCCGGTGAGCCTGCCGAAAAAGATAGGTTCGTGGACAAGGGCCAGCCGTATCCGCGTCTGACAGTGAGACGGCGGCAGCTGCTCCGGCGTTTGGAGCCGCGGCCCAGTCAGCACAGGGCCATACCTTTAAGCAAGGTTTCGTCGTCGACCTGAGGATTAGAGGGGGCACGTCGTCGTCGAGTTACGTGGCTCCGACGCGAGTGCGTCGTCGCGAGGACGCGTTGATATTTCGGCCTTTCGACCGCGCGCCGTGCGCTCAAAAAGAGCGGGAGGGGCCCGCGTTGCTCTGGCAGTCTTTGCGGGGGGATCCCGTAGATTGGGATGCAATCGAGAAGGAATTCATGCCTGCAGGGAGGTGCGCACTGTGCTCGTCAGTGAAATACAGAAACCAGTGTGCTCTCGGGCAGTGGAGTCGGGATGACGGTCTCCGCGCGTGCAACCAGTGCCTGGGCGGCAAGAAGAGTACGTGGCAGTGCATGGAGCGCGGTGGGCGGAAGGGCCAGGATGCCTTTCGCGCGTCCGAACACGGTTCGTCGAAGTTGACGACGCGGCGCTGCGTGGATTGCTCCGAGAGGCGGATGTGTTACGTATGCGAAGTGCAGAAATACGAAGGTGCGTTCGCGCAGTGTCAATGGGGGGGGGGGGGGGGCACGGGGCATCCGGTGCAAGGGGGGGATGCGCGTAGAGCGTGACGAGTTTAAGGGACACCTTTATTCCCGCTGCGGAGGAGAAGAGAAGCTTACTGGGGAGTTCCTGAAGGTGGACTTTCGCGACGGAGAGCGACTGTGCACAGAGTGCAGGGAGACAGTGAGGATGGAAGAGAAGGCGCGCGCCGATGCAGCGCAAGAGAAAGTATGTTCGAGATGTGGGAGCCCAAAGCGGAAGGACGAATACCCCGATTTCGCGCGGTTGAAAGTGTCCGTGCAGCGCGAAAGTGCGCATGGTGTGCGGATGCGGGGACCCAGGAAAAAAGCGGGGCCAGTCGGGCGGGAGTGAAAAAGTGTTCGGCCCGTGGGCAGTCGCAACCGGAGTGCTCGTTCTCATCGTGCATGTGGCACAAGTCGTGGGAGTCAGCGCGGAAGTGTGCTGCGTGCGTGCGGAGGAAGGAAGTGAAGGTCTGCGTTGCGTGTGAGGTGGCGCAACCGCAAAACAGTTTTTCGGCTTGAATGTGGACTGCAGTGGCAGATCGGAACCGCCGGTGCGCAGAGTGCGCGAGAAAAGTGAGGGCGCCGCGCGGCTGGTGGAAGTGCAGTGCTTGCAAGGGGGCGTTCGAAACCGCGGAGTTCGTTTCCTGGCTGGCCGACCGCGCGTCGGACAAGCCGGACGGGAAACAATGGTGCAACGAGTGCTTCGCGGATCAAGAACTTAAGTCGCAGAGCGGAGTTGGGCATCGGTGTCGAAGAAGAGGAGAGTTGGATAGGCGTTCTGGGGACCTCGCGTGGGTCAGGGTGGGGTCCAGGCTAGGACTTGACGGGTGGGGGTCCTAAGAATAGAGGTCCCGAGGGGTGGTCTGGAGGGCTGAGGATGTCGTGCGTGGTGGGGGCAGGGTGGGTGTTAGGGTGGGTTCCGGGCCAGGAATTGTCGGGTGGGGGGTCCCAAGAACAGAGATGCCGAAGGGTGGTCTGGAGGGCTGGGAATGCCAGACGTGGTGGAGGCAGGGTGAGGGTCAGGGTGGGTTCGGGCCAGGAGTCGTCGGGCGGGAAAGCCCAAGAGTAGAAGTCACGGGGTGTGGTCTGCAGGGTTGGGGGTGTCAGACGTGAAGGGAGAAGCGTTGGGTTCAGGGTGGGTTCGGGGCCAGGAATTGTCGGGTGGAGTCCCGAAAACAGAGATCCGTAAGGGTGCTCTGCAGAGCTGGGGATGTCAGACGTGGTGGAGGCTGGGTGGGGGTCAGGATGGGTTCCGGGCGAGGAGCTGTCGGATGGAATCCAAGATCAGAGGTCCCGAGGGGTGATCTGGAGGGCTGGGGATGTCCGACGCGGTGGGGCGGGGGTCGGGGCGGGTTCTGGGCCAAGAATTGTCGGGTGGGGGTCCCGAGAACAGTGGTCCCGAGGGGTGTTTTTTTTTGAGGGCTGGGGATGTCAGGCGCGGTGGGTGCAGGGTGGGGATTCAGGGTGGGTTCGGGGCCAGGAACTGTCAGCTGGAAGTTCCCAAGAACAGTGGTCCCTAGGGCTGGTCTGGAGGGCTGGCGATGTCAGACGTGGTGGGGGCAGGGTGGGGTCAGGGTGGGTTCCGGGCCAGGGGTTGTCGGGTGGGGGGTCCCGAGGGATGGGCCGGACGGTTGGGGGTGTCAGTCGTGGTGGGGGCAGGGGGGGGGTCAGGGTCGGTTCGGAGCCAGAAATTGTCGGGTGGAGTCGCAAGATCCCGAGAGATGCTATGGAGGTCTGGGGGTGTCAGACGTGGTGGGAACAGATTTGGGGGGTCAGGGTGGGTTCAGGGCCCAGGAATTGTTGGGTGGGGGATCCCCATGAACAGAGGTCCTGTGGGGTTGTGTGGAGGGCAGAGGATGTCAGACGTGGTTGGGGTAGGGTGGAGATCAGGGTGGGTTCCGTCCCAAGAATTGTCTGGCGGGGGGTCTCAATGACAGAGATCCCTAGGAGTGGTTTGGAAAACTCGGGATGTCAGACGTGGTCGGGGCAGGATGGAGGTCAGGATGGGTTCCGAGCCAGAATTCGTCGGGTGGGGGGTCCCAAGAAGCCCCTGGGGGTGGTCTTGTGGGTTGGGGGGGTTGGGGATGTCAGACGTGGTTGGGGCAGGGTGGGGTTCGAGGTGGGTTCGGGGCCACGAATTGTCGGGTGTGGGGTTTCAAAAACAGAGGTCCGTAAGGATGGTCTGGAGGACTTGGGATGTCAGACGTGGTGGGGGCAGGGTGGGGGTCAGGGTGCGTTCTGGGTCAGGAATTGTCGGGTGGGGGGTTCCGAGAACAAGGGGTACCAGGAACAGAGATCCCGAGGGATGGGCTGGAGGTCTGGGGATGTCAGACGTGGTGGAGGCAGGGTTGGTCGGTCCAAGAATCATTGTCGGGTGGGGGGTCCACAGAACAGAGATCCTGAGGGATGGGCTGGAGAGCTTGGGATGTCAGATGTGGTGGGGGCAGGGTGGGGTTCAGGGTTGGTTCGGTGCCAGGAATTGTCGGGTGGGGGTCCCGGGAGCAGGATCCCGAGGGGAGGGCTGGAGGGCTGGGTGGGGGCAGCGCCAGGGTCAGGGTGTCTTCGGGCCCAGGAATTGTCTTTTGAGGGGTTCCAAAAACAGAGATCCCGAGGGATGGGCCAGAGGGCTGGGGATGTCAGACGTGGTGGGGGCAGGGTGGGGGTCAGGGTGGGTTCGGGGCCAGGAATTGTCGGGTGGGGGGTCCCAAGAATAGAGATCCCGAGGGATGGACCGAAGGGCTGGGGATGTCAGACGTGGTGGGGGCAGGGTGGGGGCCCAGGTGGGTTCCGGGCCAGGAAATGTCGGGTGGGGGTCCCAAGAACAGAGATCCCGAGGGGTGGGCTGAAGGGCTGGGGATGTCAGACGTGGCGGGGGCAGGGTGGGGGTGAAGGTGGGTTCCGGGCCAGGAATTGTTGGTTGAGGGTCGCAAAATCAGGGTCCCGAGGGATGGGCTGGAGGGCAGGGGATGTCAGACGCGGTGGGGGCAGGATTGGAATGGGCGTGACAGGAATGGTCGCGAGGGGTGTTCG